GTAGCTGCACTCACGCAGAGACATGTAGGAGGAGATGTATGAAGGCAGCAGACCAAGAAGTGATTTAAAGATGAAAATGTACCAGTGAGAGAGTCTGCGTGAAGTTAATGATGTCCAGTTAACCAATGAATACAGGGTGCAGTGGTGGGTACGATAATCACAGCCAGTTATGAATCTTAGTGCACCATGATAGACAGCATCCAACATCTGCAGGGTTCTTGTAGGAGCGTTCATGTAAATAATATCACCAAAATCATTTGAGGGAAGGAAAGTCACAGATACAAGGCGTTTTCTAGCATTCAGGGTTAGACAGGATTTGTTTCTGAAAAAGAAACCCAGTTTAACTTTCAGTTTCTTTACCAAGTTTTCCACATGGAGCTTAAAAGAAAGATGTGAGTCGACCAAGATACCCAAATATTTATAGGAATCAACAAACTCAATGGGGACACCATTTGAGGATAAAATCGGAGGAAGAACTGCTGGGACCAACTTCCTATTTGAAAAAAGCATCCCTTTGGTTTTTTCGGCATTTAGGACAAGTTTGAGGCGGAACAAATCAGTCTGGATGATGATGAATGCAGATTTCAAAAACTGGAAACCCTTAGCAACTGTTTTAGCTCGACAATAAACAACTGTGTCGTCAGCATAGAAATGTATGGATGCATTAGGGATGTTTTTACCTACATTATGTATGTAGATTGTAAAGAGGGTGGGTCCTAAGACTGAGCCTTGTGGTACACCATTGTTGAATGTTAAATAACTGGAGGAAGTACCATTATGTTGAACACATTGCCTCCGGTCTGAAAGATAGTTAGAGAAACAACCAATGGTGTGATCTGAGAAACCGATTTCTGAGAGTTTATGACACAAGATGTTCTGATCCACAGTGTCAAAAGCTTTAGACAGGTCTAAGAAAAGTGCAGCTCAATAATCCTTAGCATCCAGTGCTTCAACAACGTCCTTAAGAACCTTCAGTGAAGCAGTGGTTGTGCTGTGTTGTTTCCTGAAACCAGATTGAAGTGGAGGTAAGATGTTAAATGAGTCCAGGTAATTTTTGATTTGAGAGTTTATCAGTTTTTCTAGAACCTTGGCTAAAATGCAGAGTTTAGAGATTGGTCGATAGCTGTTCAGTGAGGGGGGGTCACCTCCCTTCAGCAAAGGAAGAACAAAGGCTGTTTTCCAAGTGTCTGGGATGGAGTTTTGTCTTATGGAGAGATTGAAGATGTGGGTCACAGGAACTGTGATAATATGAGCAGCCAGCCTTAAGAAATAAGGTGGAAGTTCATCTGGATCTGCAAATTTTTTAGGATCAAGATCTTTTAACAGTTTATTGACCTCACTGACTGAGAATGGAGAAAAAGAGAAGCTGTGATTAACTGAGGATTGACTTGTAGGAGGGATTTGATTTGTAGAAGTTTGGTTATTAAGTGAAGTGGCTGGTTTTTTGTTAGTAACTGTGTCAAATAAAGAACCAGAAGCAACAAAATGTTTGTTGAAACAGTTCAGGATCTCGTGCTTATTTGACACAGGAACAGAGTTAACGAGATTATCTAAGATTATACTTGAAAACTGCATTACCCTATTTGCTTATTTTTACACACTGAGTACCATGAGGGGCAGCACGGTGGCGCAGTTGGTAGAGCTGTCGCCTCTCAGCGAGCAGGCCGCCTTGGTTCAAATCCCGGCCCGGGGCCTTTCTGGGTGGAGTTTGCATGTTCTCGCTGTGCATGTGACCTGTCCAGGATGTACCCCATTTCCTCCACAGTTATAGCTGGACATGGGCACCAGTGACCCCCGCGACCCAAAAATGAAGAAGCGGGTAAAGGTAATGGAGGGATGGAATACCATAAGTTTGTTTTGACAGCATCATACTTGACTTTTATCACTAGTCTACCCTGCAAAAATCTACTATGTAGGTAACACAAAACAAGTACACAAACGAATAGAAAATAGGCTACATGTTGAGGGCGGGGGTAACACTATTTTTGGTCAGGACGCAGCCAAGGCCAACGTGTATTGCTGCCATCTTAAAACAGCTCCAATATACAACATTGGCTGACTTGAACACTTTCTTAGACTTTTACATTGCCATCATTTTTCCAATGATCATGCATTTACATGGATTGTAATGGTTAAGTGCAGGGAGTGGCAGCAGCAGTTAGCAATAGCACTTTTAGAGCAGGCAGAGAGCAGCTTGGACAAACCATCTGCTGAAGAAGACAGAAGTAGTTGAAGCTAACAGCTTTACATTAAATGTTTATTTTGTTAGTAATATTATGCTCGTCATGTTGGAAGTGACTCAAAACTGGACTGTATCTCACTGCTGTTGCTTTTTGTGGCTGCAATAATCATAGAACCTGATCCAGCTCATCAGTCCTGTCAGAATTAAACTCAATTTTCCCAAACTGAGGTAGTTCAAAGAGCCACCTCCAACATGTAAATCATCAGTCGTTCATTACCGTCCCACAGAACCCAGAACAGTGTGTACATAATGATCCTTAGCTTAGTCAGTGAACATAAACTTAATTGTCTAACTTCCTACTAAAATAAATTTTGTTCACTTCACATTTCTTTATATTCCAGTCTTGGTACTTGTTTTATGTCTCTTTTGCCACTTGTCTTTACTTTATTTATTCATCCAGTTTGCCCTATTTTAGAGCGATTTGTTTTCTGCTTAGGATCTACCTGGTTTTGCTTGTTTAATTACTGGTGTCCGTTTTAGTTGTTTTTCCCAGTTTGGTGACATTCTGTTTAATTGGTCTGTTAGACCAGTGGTTTCCAAACTATTTAGCTTCTGAACCACTAAATAATGGCAGCAGAGACTTTGAGACCCCATCTGCACCGATGAAATAATATAAAGAGTGTTAACAAATCAAATTAGCTTAAACAAGTATACTGTATATTGATTATACAAAAAGCCTCAAAAACTACTGTATTTTCATTGAGCTATGACTTAGTTTCTTTCGGTTGCTCTTTCTTCAGGGGTCACCACAGTGAACAAACTCCCAAGAACGATTTGGCAATTTGTTTTATGCCGGACGCCATTCCTGACACAACCTGGGCTCAAACAGGCAACCTCACGATTATAAAACCATGGCACTGACCACCAACCTACCACAGTTCCCTTTCATTGATCTATGACTATCGTTCTTATATTTTATGAAAAAATCAGAAAAATATTCTACTGCCAATCATATTTAAGTTTTTTTTTTTATATTATTTTTATCGAGATCTCGACCCTAACTTTGGAAACCACTGTCTGATCATACATGAAAGATGCATGCAGGCACCATTCATTCATCTTTTTTATTTTAATGTTTAGAATTTGATACAGTTATTCACCAAAAATCAAGACTACGTCAGATTAAATATTCTGTGGAAACCTCATCTTGTTGTACGCCTAATTTTGTATTTCCTAGTATACAGTTTTGTTGTTTTGTGTCTTTTATTGAGCACTTTGCATGTAGTATTATAATCATATTCATTTTTGTACACCTCTTTACTTAAATTTTTTTAATCTTGGTTTTAATTTTGTTGTTTTTAATATATGCCTCTCTGATAGATGTATGAGCTGCAGGTTGATGTGAGGGTTACTGTTGCCAGAAGGATTCAGGTTTGAGGATGTTTTCACACCTGATAGTCCAGTAGACTCAGTTCAACCCCTGTAATCTGATTTTCTCTGCACAGTCACAAAAACATAAATTTTCTGTTAAATGTCAATCCTAAATTAACCTTAAATATGAGTGTGCCTGTGTTGGCCCTGTGGCTGTGAAGGACCGACAATCTGTCCTGGTGTAGCCTGCCTTTTACCTCTTGTTTGATGGGTTAAACCCCAGCTCTGAACAGGATTAAATAGCTACAAATAAATTACTTTCTGAGTGAAATAAATGATTTACAAAATGGACTCCCACAGAATTTTGTTGTGTGTTCGTAAAGCTGGCCTGTTGTTCATTCAGTTATCAGTCTATACAGGAAGACTGCTGTGTCTAAAACAGCACTGTAGAAAATAAAGGTTGACTGGATTAAGATTACCAAATGTTTCAACTCAAACACTCGTTTTCCATGCTCGGAGGAAGTAGTTCAAATTTCCCACAGTCTTAAACGCAGCATAAAACGTAAAGTGAAAACACATGTCGCAAACTTTACAAATTGTGTCGTAAACCCTCTCTGTGTCGCTGTGTGACAGAAAGAAGTGTTATTTTTAGCGAGTAAACCTTAAATGCAGCAGTGATTATAAATTTTAAAAAATGTAATAAGTTTACTGGAAGATTCTTGAGTCACTGTGGTTTTACACCAAAATGAACCCCGCGTTCACACAGCTGTCGGAAAGTGAGTTGAGCTGCAGCAAGCTAAAAACAAGCTAGAAATGGCAACATTTAACGATGACGGTAGGAGAAAACATTATAAACTTTAACTACTGGACCATTTTTATATGTGTTTCACAAAATATACCATAGAAAACGTTAAGATGAAGTCAACATTGCCTGTTTTGATTGTCTCTGTCCCTTCAGTCGATGCAGGTCAATGTGTGGTGGTGGAGGTGAGCCCGGACATCCACATCTGTGGGTTTTGCAAACAACAGTACTTCAACTTTGAGGTTTTTCTTGCACATAAACGAAATGGATGTTCATTTTCCAACCAAAACACAGCCGGAAGCACCACGACAGCAACTCTCACAGGTTAAACACAGTTTCAGCATGTTGATGTAATTTATTTGCGTTGTATTTGCTTGTGTTTGACACGTTTTTCTCCATGTTCAGATCCCAACCCAGAGCTTGTTCTTGAGGAGGACATCTACCAGACCTGTGTTGTGAGCGGGCTCAAAAAGACTCCGAACAAAGCACCGAAAATACCATTCAAAAAGTTAAAGCCAGTCCTGAGTTCAAAACGACACTCCTGCTGTTTCTCAGGTCGGTGCTTTTTGCTGTTTGTGATGTTTTATTGTTTTTTTTTTATCGTCAAATGAAAAGTCTTCACATGAACATTTTGGTCAAAGGTTTTCTCTTACACATTAGGTTGCAACTTCAAGACACAGTATGGCCAGAAGGATATGGAGCGTCATCTCAAAACTCATACTGGTATGATCACGTCTTCTGCTGTAGATTCAAAGCTCAGCTGCAGTCTTGAGGAAAAGTTCACCCTCTTTCAGGTTTATGTATCACCAGATAAAGAAAACAACCTGGTTCCAGGTTTAAATTCATTCAAATCTAACCTCAACAAAAATAAACAATGATTCCACCATGTCTTTATTTACTGAAGTCAAAATGGAAACACAATGTGTGAAAAACTGTGTCCTTCCCTTGAACCTTCAGTAGCAGCTGAAACTCTCAGTAGTGGTTTTCTGTAGGACATTTTTAGTCTCTTACACCAGGTGGAGGTTATTTTGTCCCATTCTTCTTTCCAGAGTTTCTTCAATTCATTGAGGTTTGCAGACCTTGGTTTCTGCTCCGCTCTCTGAAGGTCTCCTCGCAGAATTTTAATCAGGTTGAGGTCTGGTCCATTAAAAGACCCTATTTTTTTCTGTTGTGTGTTTGGATCATTATCTCATTTTACCATGACACAGTTTGGGCTAAGCTTCAGCTGTTGACCTCATATTTGATTCAGAAACGGTAAACCTCAAACTTTTCAGTTTCTGACCTACAAAATAATCAACTGTCACAAGCTTGTGAATCTAAATATTACCACTTTTATTATACAAACGTTGCAACAAGTAAAGAGTGTAATGACAAACCACCTCAACAACTACAGTATTTTCTGTATTCATGCCATAAGTAATTATTATTTGAGTATGGGGGAGTAGTGGTGCAGAAAGTGGGTCTGTGATCTCCACACGTCTTGTCCTCACTCCATTGTTTTCAGGTGTTTCGTGTGTCACGGGTGTGTTGACCACTGCTCCAGAATACACAGTTTATGGCCGACTCGGTGTCTGCAGGATGCTCAGCCCCTGTAGCTGCAACACAAGCCCAGACTATCAGCCCTCCACCAACGTGCGGACAGTTACTATAAGCTGTTTGATTGTTCTCCAAACGTGGTGCTATGCATTATGGGTAAACCTCTCTACTCTTGTCTCGTGTTCAAAGGACAGAAGTTTTGTAGTTCATTTAGATGCTACTTTGGAAACATTAGTCATGCTGCCATTATTATTTATTAAAACTAAAGAAGCTTTCAGTTCAATTTATTGATGTAGCACCAAGTCACAACAGAAGTCGTCTGAGTCTGAACAGAAACCTTCACATACAGTACATTAAAAAGACAATTGGTAAAAGTTCTCTAAGGAAGCAGCAGATTTTGTTGAATCCACTTCATCACAGTCTCACATCCTGAGCAAGCTCAAAGGAGACAGTGGAAAGGAAGAACTCCCGTTTAACAGGAAGAAACCTCCAGCAGGACCAGACTCAGGACAAGCGGCCGTCTGCTTCGACCGGCTGGGTTTGAGAGGACAGGAAGGAGAAACGCACAGAATGGCAGGTCCAGGTGTACTTTCTGTTGCAGGAAAGAAAAAACATGTTAAGACAGAAATAATTACAAATAAAAACAGGTAGAGTAAGTACAGAGGGCAGCAGAGAGAGGACGTGTGGTCAAATGGAACATTCTGTGAAATGTTTTCCACATGTGATTAATGTTTACCTCTGTAGAAAGATGGGCTCTGAATAGTTTGGAAAAGACCTTTGACTCTTCACATTGACGGGCAGCAGCAGGTGCATCTCAAATCTTATTGCTGATGTCTTTCTACCCTGTCATTGTGTCAACTCACCTGTATGCTCTAGAACAGCAACATGCTATAACCTCTGTTTGTATAGAGGTGCTCACACCGACGATGATCAGTAATCAATGCTTTTCATCAGCAGCGCATGACTCAAACTCTTCCTTTTAATTCACAGTCAGTTATTCCATTTGGGTTTTGGTTTAATAAATAATGAAATGGGGGAATCTGTTGTGGCGCAACTGGTAGAGCTGCTGCCTCTCAGCGAGCAGGCCCCTGGTTCAAACCCCGGTCCGGGGGCCTTTCTGGGTGGAGTTTGCATGTTCTCTCCGTGCACGTGTGGGTTTTCTCCGGGTACTCCGGTTTCCTCCCACAGAGCAAAAACATGCATGTTAGACTGATTGGTAACTCTAAATTGTCTCTAGGTGTGAGTGAGAGAGTGAATTGTTGTTTGTCTCTATGTGTCCCTGTGATGGACTTAGGACCTGTCCAGGGTGTCCCTCGCACTGTGATTGCTGGACATGGGCACCGGCGACCCCCGTGACCCAAAATGGAAGAAGCGGGTAAAGATAATGGATGGAATCTGTTGTTTTTGTTTACTTGAGGTTAGATTTGAATCCTTTAAGAAACTGATATAAACCAAATCATTTTGATGAAGCTCTGATGTGTCACCTAGAACTGACAGGGCACACGTTCTTCTTACAACTGCACTTTAAAATCCAAAGCATCAACAGATTTGTTTATTTCTTACTCCACTGATCAGGTGAGAAGCCCTTCGAGTGTGAGCTGTGCCACAAACGCTTCAGTCGGCGCGACAAGCTCAACGTGCACAGCCGCTCGCACACGGGTGAGAAGCCGCACAAGTGCAAACACTGTCCGTACGCAGCAGCAGACAGCAGCAGTTTGAAGAAGCACCTGCGGGTCCACTACGACGAGCGGCCGTTCAAATGCCAGATCTGCCCGTACGCCAGCCGCAACTCCAGCCAGCTCACCGTGCACCTCCGCTCTCACACTGGTACCCTCTTTAAAATGATGCTTCGTAGCGTGCATGAGTCTGCTGGTGCTGTTTCCTGACTTGTTTCCTGTTTCTCTTCTAAGGAGACGCACCTTTTCAATGCCATCAATGTGATGCAAAGTTTAAAATCAACTCGGACCTGAAGAGGCACCTCCGCATTCACTCTGGTGAAAAGCCGTACAAATGTGACTTCTGCGAGTACCGCTGCGCCATGAAGGGGAACCTCAAGTCTCACGTTCAGATCAAACACGGCCCGGAGAACTCCGTTCAGTGCCAGCAGTGTGACTTTAAGTGTGCGAGCAGGACGGCTCTGCGGCTGCACGCCCGGCACCATCAGCCTGTTCAGTCCCATCAGTGCTCAAAGTGTATTTACTCCTTCTCCAGCAAGGGGGCGCTCAAAGTCCACGAGCGCATGCACTCAGAGGAGCGCCCTTTTAAATGTGACATCTGCAGTTTTGCCTCCAAGCGGCTCAGCAACCTGCTCCTTCACAAAAAGAAGTGTCACGTTGATCAACCGGAGAAGAGCAGCGGTGTGAGTCCTGGCAGAGCCGCAGGAAGAAGTGCGGGCGGCGACGCTACTAAACCTGTCAGTTCTAGGTATCGGGCAAAACTAGACGCAGCTCGGGCCTTCTGCTGCGACTTGTGCGACGCTTCGTTTGTGAGGGAGGACTCACTGCGCAGCCACAAGAAGCAACACGCAGTCAGTCCACACATGTTGGAGCTGCTGCTGTCCAGCCCAGCGCACACACTGGACCTGGTTCCTGTTGCATCCCAGAGCAGTGCTCAGCTTGAAGTTCCCGTCTCGTGCTGCTCTATGGTCCCCTACAGCAACGCACAGCTCAAAATCATCCTCTCTCACCCTTTAGGCCAGCAGAGTTCGTTGATCCCTGCCGCTGCAGATGGGACCAGCAGGACCAGTGTGGTCCTGCTTAGCCCTGAACACCAGGACATGGTAGTTAACTCTATGATCCAGCAGGTCAACCTGCTGGCACCCGCACAACCTCTCGGCTCATCCCAGACTGAGCCCCAGACTGTCCTCCTGGCCCAGCTCGGCTCGGACGACACCCCCCCCCTCCACCAAGCCGTGCTGCAGACGGCCGTAGCTGCTCAGGACTCCAGCAGCAGTGCCCAGACTCTGATCGAGGCCTGCTCCGAGCTGGAAGACCTCAGCGCCTTGATCCACGAGGCCAGCACCGACGTTAGACTGGAGACTAAAGAAAACTCTGTGGCGGTTACGGCTCCACCTGACGTGGGCGTGTCGAAGCCTGCCTTACCTGGACAGGACGGTGCACTGCTGGTTCCGAACGTCAGCCTTGGCAGCCAGGATGTGGTCATCCACAGCGTCCCACTGATCGTGTCCGCTCAGAGCGCAGAGCAGCTTCCCCCTCACACACTCTACACAGACTCACACACACTGGCCGGCAGCTCACAGTGAGTGGTGCTAACTGGTGACTCAAGCTGCTTCACGGTGGTTGATGGAAGCACCTCATGAAAACAGCAGCTCTGTTTCTTTCCAGCGTGTTCGAAGAAGTTCTGTCCCTGAGCGCTGTGTTCTGCACACACACCGTGGTTGTACCGACGGCTGTGATGAGGAGGAGGAGTGAGACGAACTGCAACCTTCATCATTTTTATCTTCAGGACCTCCGTTCAGGATGATCATAAATGTTTAGAGAAGCAATCAACTTGTTGTTTTAACAATTTCCACTTCTAAATAGAAATTGGACAGAATGTTTGTTTTCAGTGTTTTTTGTTTTTATCATTTACATGTTTAAATTATTTGTAAATGTTTATTTCTATACATCTTTAAACAACTTTTTCCATTTAGTCTTATTTTATAGTTTACTTGATGTCCACATCAACCTGTTGTAAATTAGGATGCATCGTGGGGGGGCTAATAATTTTGTTTGTATTTTGTTTCTTACTAAATAGTTAATTTATTTGAAACCGTTTTCATTTTCAGATCAAACTCAAATTCCCAAAAAGTTAGGTTTGTAAATATGAACAAAATGCAATCAATTACAAATCTCATAAACACATTTTTTACTTCCAGTAGAACGTGCTGGTTGTTTTTTTCTTTAACATTTTGTTTTTACTGGTGTGTCCGCACTGCGTGACCTCATGACAGCTTTCATTTCCACCTGGTGCTCAGCCTGGGCCGGACCCTGCGGCCTCCGGATTACCACAGAGCCCAAAACATAATAATAATAATAATAATGTCATCACAATGTCAGCACTGTATGTTTCCATACAATGGCGAAATTAGTCTCTGCGTTTAACCCATCCACCACCAGGTGGTGCAGTGGGCAGCTATTGAAAGCGCCCGGGGGGCATTTTGGGGATGAGGCGTGCTGCCCAGAGACGCCACGTGATGTGCAGTGAACATCGAAAGCATCAAAGCTTTAAACTAAGAGAATTTTACTTTGTTTTTTAATGGCCAATTTTTAATTTTTGACATCAACACTTTTTTTTATGTTTCCCCACCATGAAACATCTCTTAACAACTGAGGAGACCACTGGGAGGGTTTGATGGCGTCTTGCTGAAATATGCAAGGTCTTCCCTGAAAGAGACGTGTGGATGGAAGCACATGTTCTCAAATCTATATATATTTATATTATTTATAACTTGGAGCCAACTCTTCTCATTGAGGAGCTGCTTAGGAGCTCTTCAATGAGTTTTTGTGGTGAATTGAACCAGATGTTCCAGAAAACATCTGTAAGTCCATCATTAGCCCTTATTAGACACCAGGCTTTAGAGCTGGGTGCTGATAACAGGCTGGATGGTTCCTCTCCTGTTTAGTACAAAGGACATGACAAAAATAATTTAAAATCTGACCAGAGAACAGGTCTGCTCTTTTTCTCAGTCCATTGCAAAGGAGCTTTGGTCCAGGTAAGACTGCAGCCGTTCTGGATGGTCTCTGCTTGATAGAGCTTTAAGCAGCGGTGGTGGGTGACACAGTGAACAGTGTTGCAGACAGAGATATGTGGAAATGTTCCTGAGTCCATGTTTTTCATGCAGTGACCCCCGAGGGCCTGAACGTATCAAACACCTAAACATCGTTGTTTGAGCTCAGACAGTTCTCCAGCTTCCTTCAGTCTGTTGATATGAACTGTACATGATGAGATCAAAGTCACTTTTTTAAGAACTGTGCAATAAAGTTGTTCCACTATTTTCAGACAGTTTTTACAGACTGGTGATCCTCTGCCCATCTTTATTGGGAGAGATTGAGTTAGTTACAACCCCCCCCATCCCACATACAAATGTTTTATTTTTTATATATTTTGTTGCTGACCATACTGTACTTGAAAAAGGTACAACTTCTAAAAGTCAACATTTGATGTTTACTGTGTTCTGTTGTGAAAAAAATATGGGTTTATGAGATTTACAGGTCATTTCAGTCTTTTTAACTTTCACTTTCCACAACATCCCAGCTGTTTCCAGACATCAACACCACAAGAACAAAGTCTTGAAGTGTTCTAGTTGTGAAAATGAAAGGTGCTTGTGTTTGGTTTGTCCTTCAGATGGCAGCAGAGCAACTGTCAAACATGAGGTAGACAAATAGTTTGCCAGTAAATGCTCATCTTTTCCTCCCAGGACAATATTTTCATTACCTTCACTCTGAATCTTCAGAGCGTCCATTGTAAAGAACATCAGTTCACTCGTCAACGTCTTGGTTTTTAAAAGCCAAGTTGTTCCCTCAATAGATTTTTCAATAAAGTGCCTGTTTTGCTTGTTGCAGCCTATTATTCTGGACATTTGTGCACGCAGGCCTCGCTCGGTATCTGCAGGGAGAGGACGCTCCACCTGAATAGGAGTCTCCTGTGAACAGCTCCTCATTGATTTGTTCCTCGTCTCTGGGCACTAATGGATCCGCTGAAGCGCACGGCTGCATTTTCAGGCTCAGCGTGATCACAAACCCAGAAGATGCTTGATGTTAAGATGTTTGCCAGCGCCAAGGGTTCACTTCAGAGTTAGGCTCTCAGTCCTGACTGTGCCTCTTTGTGTGTCTGCGTTTAATAAGACGTTCTTTGACCTTTTCTGTAGAATTAAAGATGCTCTTCTGGACTGTTCCTTTAAGTGCATATGGCTAATTGTAGACTCAGAGAAAGTCAAAGACTGTGATTAAGTGCAGTTTAGAGATAGTTGTACTTTAACATGCTTATTAAATGCTGCTTCAGCCCACTTACTGAACATGCTAAATTTTAAACTGAACTGATCTAATGGGGGGGGTCGTCTAAAAGGTTTAAACGACTAGTTTTACATTCAGGACATTGTCCCTGCACTCTGTCAGGAAACAACAAGCTATGACTTCAAACTTAAAAGAATTTAAGATCCTCGCCAAATTTGTTCTTTTTAGTTTCAGACTAAAATCCTCCTAAACTGAGAAGAGGCAGAGTTAGTCGTTTAAGTCCAACCTTAAAAGTAACATTAGGTACAATTACATAAACTAATGAAATACATTTGAGCTCAGTGTCCGTAAAAGGAAGTTGTAACCACTGTTGTGTTGGCTGATGTCAGGTAGTTGCAGTGGCCATCTTGAATGGGTTTGAAAGGCTCACTTGTTGTCCCCGTCACAGACCGAACAGGGAGAAATGAAGATATCCATCTGCTCGTGTTGTGAACAAACTTGAAAAATAAGTGAGGTACCGACTTCCATTTTGGTGTGTGGCTGCAAGAAAGACCGCCATCATAAATTTGGGTTGCCAAGATGGCCGCTGCCATGTACAGAACACCACAATCATTTGAGGAAACCATGCTTTCTAGTTTTTTATTGATTAAAAGTACAGTTTCCTAAAAAATGACTGGGGTGGCCAAAGATTAATCTATAATGTCCAAGACCTCCACTGGCCACCCCCTGGCTCCGCCTTTGCTCCTGGTGTTGGATAAAAGTGCTCCCTCCTCTCGCCAGGATCCGTCACTCTGCACCACCTCACACATGCAAATTAAAAGAAAACTATGTTCTTGTCCACAGTGTAACTCCTGCACACCTGAACATCTTGCACCAAAAACATTAAGGTTTACATCCCTGCTCAGTTCTAGTCCAGAAAAACACTCATCTCTGAAAATTACAAACATTCACTATTTAAATCCTTTAGCGACGATAATCATCGATGTACCTCTTGTTGTGGATGTACATGCAATGATTATTTTGAGTTTCATTAAAGTCCGTTCACACGACACATGGGTGGCGGGTGATAATGTGTTGTTGTTTTTTTTTGTTTTTTTACGACGACACTGATAGTTTTATCTTTAGCGTGTTGTGTTCACTGGAGATGCCAAAGATTATCAGTTTTAGACACATGAGGTCAGTATCTGATGAACAGTTCACTCCTAAACAATGGACTGTTCTGACTCTGCAGGGACTGGTCTGGGATCAGCACTTCTGACCCCTGGCTGACTAAATGATTTTGGCCTACAGCGACCCAAATCCTGCATGCCAGAGGAGATAACTTGGCCCACTTGGAATGATCAATCCCACCGTGTGCAACGATGAGTTTGGCTCCCAAATGTGAATGGACTTTTTGCAGATGTGCAACCTGTGGGGGCCACATCTGGACCTTCTGCAGCCACTCATTGTAGCTTTGACTAAAAATATTATTGAAATGCATATTATTGATATTCATAATGACAATTGGAAAGGCTAGTTATTACCCCAAGGCAGAGCAATAATGTTTTTGCCTATGTCTGTGGGCATGTTTGTGTGTTTGTATCGTTAGCAAAATATCTCATGAGCCACTTGTTGGATTTTAATGAAACGAGCACAAAGTAATCACTGATTGTGCGTCCACAGCTGATTAGCTGTTGGAGTCAACCCACTGTAAGATTTATTTATTCAAGATTAAAATTTCTTTCACCACAGCTACAAGTTTAGCTTTTCCTACACATAAATGGCTATTCGTAGCTACTACCACACCAAAGTTAACTGAACATCTGGCAGTCACCGCAGACAAATGCTAAAAGAAAATGCAAGACGTTGCAGTTTTTCATCAGACTCCACGAAGATTTATTAAAGTTTGAGCAAAGCAGCTACAACTTAAGATATTAGTGTAAAACTCTGGCACTAAAGGTGGCGGGTGATATGCATTTAGTTCAGTAAGCCTTTAATTTAGCATCAGACAGAGATACATGCAGTAGAGTATACAGTCAAACTGGTAAGTTTTAATTTTTCCATAATTATCCTTCATGAAGTTGGGAGGTCTTGCATCATCTTTTTCTCATGGCGGTGTAGCTGCAGCTGTAAAACAAGTCGAACTGGCAGCTGTCACATCGCAGCAAAAAGGTCACAGGTTTGCTTCCCAGGCTTTCTGTGTGGAGTTTGCATGTTCTTCTTGTGCACAAACAGGTTTGCTCCAGGTACTCTGGTTTCCTCTCACATACAATCAACGTGCACGTTAGGTTTATTGGCAACTCTAAATTGTGTGAGAGTGTGAACAGTT